TTTGTGGAGTTTTTTTTTTTTTTTTTTTTTTTTTTTTCTTTTTGGATTTGGGATAGACTACATAGGAGTATGCTGTACATAAAAGTAAAAGCTAGTGCTTTGTCTTAGTAGTTTTAAGAAATTACAACAAATTAAGTTTTCTTGTATTGAAAATAACATGATTGTATGTTTTGCATTCCTAGAAGTAGGTTAACTGTGTTTTTAAATTGTTATAACTTCACACCTTTTTGAAAATCTGCCCTACAAAATTTGTTTGGCTTAAAACGTCAAAGCCGTGGCAATTTGTTCCTTGATGTGATTGTATTTCCAATTTCTTGTTCATGTAAGATTTCAATAAAACTCAAAAATCTATTCAAAACATTACCTATTTCAAATTCAATTGTGTCCTAAAACATTATTTCATTGGTAATTCTTGCGAAAAACATTGTTTTCAAAGTATAACTGCCTATGTGAGTGATCAAATTCATGCAAAATTTCTTGTGCTTTCCAACATGTAGCACTGTGGACATCAGACTGAAAACTAGGAGAAATTACAGATAGCCCCAAGGGCACTTTGTTTAATTGCTGTTCAGTAACTAACCAGCATCTAATTTTGAAACTTTTTTCATTTTAAAAGTGTTGAAATGTATCCAAACATTCACAGAGATCTAATTAAAATACAATCTAATGTAATGTGGAGAAGGAAGCAGAGCCTACAATGGTGTTAATTTTGTTCCTTTTTATGATGTGCTGTGGAGTCCCTCTAGAGGCTATTCTGTTAGGATCCAGTCATCTTGTGTTATTCGGCATACAAACACATAGGGCAATGGTTTTGATCTCAAGCATTTTAGTCCAATTTGAGATACTATTTGACTAGGAACGAGAATTATAAATTAGGTGCTGTGGCACAGTAAACTAATTTCTTGCTGCAGATTACACAAACGTATTCTCCATGTTCTGCTTATTTCTGTCTTGACATTTTAATTTGATGTTCTGCCATGATGAACAATTTGCCTTAGAATTCTCATGCCTTGTAATAAAGGCTGTTTAAAAAAGAATACGTAATATCTTTTGGGGGCATTACTAGCTACATTATTGGGGTGTTATGTGTTGCTTTGACCCTTGTCTTGGACATTCACAGATGTCAATTTTAACTGGCAAGTCATGACATTACTCTTCTGTTGCATCTGAGCCATTCTGTACCCCAATGAAGAACATTTGCTTCTCAAGAAAAGAGAGAAACAAACGGATTTAAACTTTCTCTAAAGAAAACTATTGCTGGACCTTTAAATATCCAAATCAAATGCATTGCTCATACTTGATTTACAGCATTCTAAACACAGACCTTTGAGGAAGTTAAACTTCAGTGGTCATACTCCTCCCTTTGTCTTCTATTCCTGTCTGGTGTCTCTCGAGTGTATTCTGTCAGACTGTGAACAGGAAGATGAGCCTCCCCGCGCTTTACTGGCGTGGGCCTGGTGTACGGTTGCATGGTTTGCCTTTGGACCGGGGTTGAAGTGAGGGTGTCTGTCTGCTTCTCAAGAACGGGTTTGTCCCTGCCTCAGGCTCTTCCTGTCCTATTCATAGAATTGCTTGTAAATAACTTAAAGTTGCTTTCATAATCAGTTTTTAATATGTTAAAGCCCCTCCCCGCCTTTTTTTTTTTTTAACTTTGCAAAGTTAATGGGGCCGAATCCTGTCCTCTCTGTCCTTACCTCAGCAGCGAAGTCAGAGGGCGATTGCTGGGGTGTACGTGTCAGGCTTTGGCTTGTGGGAAGGATCTGGCTTGTCGTTTTTGTTTTGATACGAGGGTTTGCTGTGCTGTCGGTGTGACTTCAGTGCTTGTAGGTGCCGAGCAGAGCCCTGCAGTCCCAATGAGCGTTCGCTCTCCAGGGAGCGGTGTAGAGGGGCCCTGGTGCGAGGCAGCCTAGTTGGAATGCAACGGGAAGTACTCCCGTCCTGGAAGAAAGATAGCGTGGACGCACTGCACGCTCAGGGCTAGCCCAGGGCAGGCGAGGTGCCAGGGCTTGCTTGCGGGGCGGGTGGGAGGAAGTCAAACGCTTCCATTGCAGTGTTCACGGAACTACAAAAACGTTAAAATTGTCTTCCTCGAAAATTGTAAAGCTGCATCTTGTATTTGCTTGTGCCCAAATCAACATTTATCCTGATATTTTTATGGAATATGAGAAGTGAGCTATACATTTTTATAACTGAAAATTAAAATCAGTAAAAGCTTATATTTAGAAGATACACAGAGTTCTGTGATTTACGTGATTTATGGATACTCAAATTCACCATTTAAATTTGCAGCAGTGCTTTACTGAGTCCTTAAAGATAATGTGTACTACAGCTTACTGAGTAGTGGCGTATACTGCACCTGAAGAGCTTAACAAAACTTTTGAAAAAAATTATCAAAGATATACTCTAACACAGTGGGAAAATCTACCATGCTTGATGTCAGATACTCAAGGGAAGAATTTTGCACTTCTCAGCACAATTTTGACATATAGTCAAAACAAAAAATAAATTTAAATTTACACTCGTGCATCTGTTTTGATCGTTTCTTCAGTATAACTTAGTAAAAATCCTCTTACAGAATATGTTGAAAATGGATTTCAGCTTGCAAACCAATATTAAACTTTTACAAGTGTCCTGCTGGCGTTGGAGGAGGAGGCATGAAATGGGATTTTAATAATCATTTGATCACTCATTTATAGCAGTTGCTTAAATGTCTGTATTGAGAAGGTATTTGATTAAAAATAAGTAGGTTGCCAGATTCCTAGCCATTCCAAAACTTGAGCAGATGATTTTTACAGCCGTTGTGTTACTAGAAACTTACTTTCACATTATTAACAACATCAGTTTTTAAACTCAGCTTTTAATTTTACTACGTCTTTAAACATAGTTGCATTTTTTTTTTCAAAGTCTTCAGGGCTTAATTTTTTGTAGCAATTGTTTATTTTCAGGACTTAGCTTCTGTTGTCTAATTATTAGAGAATGACAACTGCATGGCTTAAACCTTTTCAAAATAAACTCTAAGTAGAAGATCACCGCGTGATGTTGGTGACTGTATAAAAATCTGACCGCTTTTTGTCCCCCCTGCGTTTGGACATGGAGCCCATTTCTGTATTTTGAACTACACACGAAAATACAGAAGGCACTCTTATTATAAGGCTAGCAGAAAAACAGATGTGAAGTGTTGGGCAAAAAGTATTAAACCTCTTAGCGAAACGTGGGTGGCACCTGGACCTGTAGACCCTAACGCAGACGTGTGCGTTCTCAGCAAGACGTAATTGTTATCCAAAAGTGGTGGTGGCCCATACGTAGGTCAGGAAGGACCCTGTCCTGCAAACCTGTCATGAGTAATCCTTGATTGGACTTGAGTTGGAGTACTTGTGTGATTCAGGGTTGCTTGTACAATGAAGGTTTGCCAGATTGGATTTTGTCGTTCACATGGACTACTTAAGCAGATCAGAGCCTTTTTTGTACGAAGTTGTGTTCCCTATTTTTTTGAAATAAAGAAAAAAAAAATGTTAGAGCTTCTGTTAACTTACTTGAACTTGAATGAAGCTGTTGTAGTCTATTGGCTTAAAACGTCTTTTGAAACCCAGAGTGGCTAAGTTGAGTGTGTATTAGTTGATAAAATGTGTAGAGTAGGGGGAAAAAAATCATTAGTGTTAAAGGGAAATCTTAAGCTTTTGTTTTCGAACAAAACAGTCCAGGTGGATCTGCAGTATTTGGTTATTGATCAGGAACTTGTGAAATTTTAGAACAGGAGAATCCCTCTGAAGAAATGTTTTAACAACTTGGAGGTTACCAGAAGCTCTGAAAGACAGTTCAGAATATATTGCATCACATTTTCTGATGTCCAGAAATCTGCAAGTGTCAATTTTGTATTTTAACTCCTTCCTTTTACCTGACTATCAGGGAAGCGTGGTTGAGGCTGACCTGACATGTCATGATGTCGACTTGCTAGGTGGGGTTCGCAAGGGACATTAACCTTGGAGTTATCGGTAAGACAACTTTCTTTCTCATTTCCTTCAGTAAGATTAAAGGGCTGGGGTGGGAGGAGGGAGGAGATGAGCTCCACAGACCTGATCACTGCAATGTTGTTGAAAATCTGGCATTATCGTGGAGAGATTCCAGGCACTGAAGGTAAAGGTTAAATTTAAATTCGTCCGTGTCCGAGGGGAGGGTGACGTAGGTCCTTACAACTGAAATCAATTTGAAAATAAAGATGATTTGCGCTTCAGAAGAAAACTGGATGCTATTTTAGGGGTGCTGGAAGCATAAAAGATTTTGAGCACTTAAATTTTTCCTCTGTAAATAAACCAAGTATGGTCCATCCCCATCTCCCCTCCACCCCCACCCCACA